AAATCGGACATCGGGGGGGTGGGGGGGGGGGGGGTCGGAAGAGGCTAACAACTTTGGTTGAAAACGTTGGACTACAGCACCAGAAGCAAGAAGAATCTAACGTGCGTACGTAGAGGCGCTTTGCAAACGCTTGCCCTACCTGCTCACATGAAAAAAGTCTCTTTTCGGATTTTCTGATCATAATGGGCACTTGAATCACAAATCTCCTGTGCTTGTCCGCAGCCAAACGGCGCTTCTTGTTGCTGCTTGATACGCCTACACGGAGCAGCGCGGAGCGTAGCTCCTCTCGCTGACAGCGCCCCTCCTCTTCTGATTCGGCTTGCGCAGCTGCTACACCACGCGAGTCCCTTCCCACGACCGTGAGATGGTGCCGCTGACGATCGTCCATCGAAGGGGGATAGAGCTAGACGGCAAGAACAGGCTTCTCCTTCACGGGTGAGATTGGGTCCGGTGTAGCGTCCCTCGTCGTCCAACGTAGGGCTTCGGTCGGGGGAGATTTTTGGTGGTCCCGTGCACCTGTTGTGCCTTGCTTGATAGCAACACGGGGTGCTCTTCCGACGCTTGGTTGGAGAGGAGGAACCCGTGCCCCAAAGTATTTCTTCAGCTTTGAACGAATTTTTTCGGCTGTTCTCGTGCAGAACAACATGCTCGAACCACAAAATGATGTTAGGAATCTGGTCGCGCGCGGGCCTTATCGCCTCGCTCTGTCTTGAACCACAAGCACCACCACCACTGCCGTTCTCCCACCCGGAGAGCGTTTCGAACGCGAGACCCTCTAACCAGCCCATCTCCGCCCCTTTCCTCAACACACACTCTCGAATGTCGTCGAACGCCCCCCCCCCCCCAATGTACCTCACACCACGGCTCCCCTACATATGATGTAGTTACGGGTCGTACGGAATGTCCTTGCCGATCGACTACCACCCGGCACAAGCTTGTATGTTGGAGAGGGGATGGGTGTTGGCGTTTGCACACGTGAGGGGGGGAGGGGAGCGAGGCAAGGCCTGGCACGCTGGTGGGCGAGGATTGGACAAGTGGAACAGCTTCTGGGACTTCGAGGTGCGCAACCGAAATCGTGGCACGCATTTTTCTGATTGGTCAAAGGAGGGAGAAAACATAAATTGCCTCCGAACAAGGGGTAGTGAAACCTGTTACAACATGACGTCATTTACACCAACGATACGGTACAATTCGTGCACATGGTACATACGGACCCGGAACCCGGTGCTGCGATGCTCGTCTTTTGAACAGCGCGCGTGTAGAGTGCCGCCCCCTTCGAGTCAGTCGCGATGCAGATCTCGCCCTGGTATTGGGGGCCCCACCGTATCTGGTCTGTTACCATTTCTCGGTTGTCGGTGGCGAAGTGCGATCTTCTCTGTGTGCTTGAAGAGGCGTGAAAGTGCGCCGTCGTGTTGCGTTTTCTCCTACGCATGCCCTACTGCTGTGTGTCTTGGGGGCAGGCGTGTGCGGAGCACCTTGTGTCCGGGGGGTTCACCAGCCCCTCGCTTATGGGCGCTCAGGTGAACAGCGCCGGCGGTCTGCTTGCGGGGGTGATGGCCAACCAAAGACCCGGCTTGTTCTCGGCGATGGTCATGAAGGTGTGCTAGGGTGGGGAAGGGATAAGGAAAAGGAGGAGATGGCGATCAAAACGGGGAGAAATCGCAGGGGGCTAGATACCAAGAGAGCAGGGGAGATGCAAGGACAATATATAAAGTGTGGTAAGGAAGCGCCTTCTCGTGTGTTTTCGTTGCCGAGCACTTCTCCGTTCGGAAAATATCTACAGGATTGATACCTCCCGTAGGTTGCATGACGTATAATACCACACCCGCCGCCGGACCGACTTTCAAAGTCCGGCTACCCTGCATCACAACAGTGACTGCGCCGAAAATGGCGGCGTTGGACACCCGCTCGTCAAGATCTTTCCAAAAACGTAGATACCATATTTTGATGTTAACATCTTCTCGGTCGTGGAGCAATCTAGCCTTCAAAATCGGACCAGGTGTGTGATATCTATCTTAAGCAACCTGCGACACCCGCGCGCGCCACACTCGACCCCCCCCCCCCGACGTGCTCGACCCAGGCCCCGTTTTTGGGGGTGCTCTCCGCCATGCGTGACAGCTCTTTGCCGCTTACCGTCCACGAGTTCGACGAGTGGGGCGATCCCAACAGCAGCGCCGAGGTCGAGTCTATGATTCGGTCGTACTGCCCGTACGAGAACGTCGTGGAGCAGGAGTATCCGGCGATGCTGGTGACCGCTTCTCTCAACGACAAAAGGTGCGGGCCTCACAGTGAGAGGAGAGGGGGGGTGGTGGGAGCGGAGGGCCATTTCAGAGCACACGCTTGCAAGCGCGTCCGCGCGCCAAGCATTTGCGCTGTTATGTTGGGACTGCTGGTAGGCGTGCACTTGCCCGTTTTCCAGCGATGCGATCTCTTTCGCCCAGACTCTGCTATTAGTGGAAGGATTGGAAATAACAACGATAGCAGGGGTAGCACGCCGGGGATTTTTCGTTATTGTGCACCTTTTTTTGTAGCGGCAGTGGTCCCAAGGCGCGAATAGGCTCTCCGGGAAGTCGCCCTCTCTTTCCAGCCCATTGCTCGGTTCCAGAACGGTTGCTCTAGAACGGTGCACACGGCGTTTACCGCTAAGAAGTGCTGGCGAGAACCAGCTCATGTTGTAACCGCTGGCAGGCAGGCTAGGGAGAAACAAGTCGGGGTACCAAAGGGGTGTAAAATAGCGGGGGTCATTGATCCACCTGAGTTGTTCTGGGAACACTCACCGCAAGACGGCCTCCCGCCCTATCTCTCCTTGTCTCTCTCCCTCTCTCTGCCGCTCAATTTCTGTCTGTCTGTCTGTCTGTCTATGTGTGTGTGTCTCTCTGTCCTCATGCACGTCTGTGCATTTGCCGTCTGTCCTCCGCAAAAGGGTCAATGTTTGGGATCCGGCCAAGTGGGTTTCGAGGGTCCGCGCCGCAAACACCGGACAATCCCCCGTGCTGCTCCGGGTCAGCGAGAGCGATGGCCACCACGGCCCGGGCAACACCTTGGATGGCCTCAAGGACTCTGCGCTGGAGATGGCGTTCTTGGAGAAGCATCTCAAAGTCTGCTAGGGGGGAGGGCGGGGGGGTTAGGCACTGAAGAAGGCGTGGTGTTTGGAAGTATCTCGAAGTCTTTTACGTAAGGGGGAAACTCCGCACTAGAGCAGGCATTTTCGGAGAAGAATCTGAAAGTTTGTTCGGGGGAGGAGGGCGGGCTCAAATGCGACTTGCCTTGGTCATTTGACCGTTCACCATGTACCTCAACAGAAGTCGACTAGGGGGCAAGTTGGGCAGAGGGAGGTTGCTCCCCCTGCAACACATACCAGTATGCAGACAAACTGGAGCTGCTTGACGCAAACCTGGTGTCATAATTTTCAAGTAAGAGCGTTAGCTCGCACTTCCCGAGTTGCAAAAAAAGCCTCATCAAGGGGTAAAGTGGCGCCGGTGTGCCTTCAATTTCTCTTTCTCTCTTTCCTCGAAACGCCAAAAAGGCTTCAAATTCTAGATTCTAAATAAGACCTTCCGAATGCTCTTCGCGATTGTAACCGAAAGCCGACAACGGTACCCGTTACGCCTCCTTTAATTCTACGTCGACACAACAACAACAGGGGCGAGGAAGACTGGGCTCGACATCCAGCACGACTTCTACAACGAGGACTCTGAACTCGTCTGACGTTCGGGGGGGGGGGGGGGGGGGGGGAAAGGGGTAAAGGAATAAGGGGAAAAAACCCGCCGAATCCCAAAGGCCCCCCCCAACCCGCTTTTCCCCCCCCCCCCGACCCTCAAAAAAGGGGCCAAAAAAAGGAAAAAAAAAATGGGACCCCTTTTTAAAAAAAAAAAAAACCTTTTTTCAAAAAAGGGGAAAAAAAGAAAAGAAAAA